ACTCGCAAATGGCCTGGATCCCCGCCAGAGATCTACGATACATTACATCAAAGCAGACAGGTGTTTTTTCGGACATTTGCGAGTAGGCACTTGGCGAGTAGTGGAGCGCGCTCGGCGATAGGCGTAAGAGTGACCTTTCGCCGGAGTGACCTTTGGTGTGGACACCAGGTGGTCCCCCGATCGCCGAACGTGATACGATAGTAGCGCCTTGCGCGCTTGGGTTTGGTCCCCCTCGCGGCTCCCCGAAAGCCGCGTACTGGAGGTCACTCTTGTCCAGGGTCACTCTTGCGTGTAGTCGACAGGGTGGGAGAGCGCACGCGTTAGCCGGGGGGCCCCGGACGGGCCTGACTGGGGCTGGATGGGGCCGCGATAAATGGGAGGACGATGCATGAGGAGGCGGCGGGGGCTGCGGAAAAGGAGCGCTCGAGGGCCCTTCGAGGGCCCTCTGGGGCCCAGAGGGGAGCCTCTGGGGCCCCTTTCGCCCCCTCTCCCCTCAAGCGCCTCCCAGCTCGCTCGCGCCCACGTGGCCGGTGGGGCGGGAAGGAGGTGGAGGAAGAGAAGGAGGAGGAGGAGGAGGAGGAGGAGGAGGAGAGAAGGAGGAGGAGGAGGAGAGGAGGAGGAGGAGGAGAGGAGGAGAGGAGGAGGAGGAGGAGGAAAAGAGGAGGAAGGAGAGAGAGGGAGGAGGAGGAGGATGAGGAGGAGGGGGGCCCCTCCCAGAGGCGAGGGCCGGGGGGGGCGCCGAGCCGCGGGCGTGGCCGCCGGGCGCGCGCGCGCGCGCCACTCCGCGCGGGCGCCGCGTGCACGGCGGCGGGGCGCACGGGGCGCCAGGGCGGCGGGCGGCGGGGCGGGGCAGGAGCGCCCGCGCCCCGGCCAAGGCGCGCGCAGGCGCGCGCAGGCCAGGCGCGCGCAGGCGCGCGCGGCGCGCCGTTGGCATCGCTCGGGCGTGTGAATTTTTCCTTCGGCGAGGGCAATCGAGGAACATCTTTGGTCATGTGGCGAAAAAGCGACGCATGAAACCAACAAAAACACACAGGAAATGGACGTTCGAGCGATGGCCAGCGTCCCGGCGCAGACGCCAGCGACTGGTGCCGAGCTGGAGCGAAGCCGCACAGGAGCGGCCGGATGCCCGGAGTTGTCGAAGCTGCGCCGGAGGTGTGGATCCTCGCGCGCATGCTTGTGCGGGCGCGCCCGGAGGTGTCTTCCCAGAGATCCGATGTCGTGATTTTTTCAATGCGCGGTCCCCAGATGCCTCGATCCATTCCCCAGGACCGGTTTTTCATCCTGAGTCGTTTTTGGACGGTCCCGAGGCCCGGCGAGGGCCCCCAGGGGCCGAAACTTGCGAAAAACCTCCGTCCTGATTTCTTCAATGCGTTGGATCTCTGGGTTCTCGACTGCGCATTCCACGCCTGCCTCCACGGGTCCCCACAGAGCTCGGCCCGGCGGCGGTGCCCCATGGCCCTCTCGAATATTGGGCCTCCTCCGGCTCAGCCCCTGCAGGCGGCGCCAGCGGCCCGTGTGCCTCCACGGGTCTCCTGCGCCCTCCCGCGCTGGTCGGCGGCCTGCGACACCTCGCGAGGCAGGACAGGCTGGCGCGGGAGTGCCTTGGGACTCCGCCCCGGAGTGCTCGTCTCGTCTTTGGAGCTGCCTCCCCTCCTCCGCTCCTCTCTTCCTCCCTTCCTCAGCATTGCTCCTCGCTCCTCCCTCCTGCTGCTCCTACATGCTAGCCTGTTCTGCCTCTCCCCCTCCCTGCGCCTCATGCTGCATCTTCTGCCCTTCCATCCTTAATGGTCCTCCTCCTTCCAACTGCGTCGTCGTCCTCCTCCTTCTCCCCCCCTCCCCCTTGCTCATTCTTCTCTGCTTTCCTTGCAGAGGCGCTGGACGAGGACACCGGCAAAACCCTCATGGATGTCTACGGGGACGAGTTCGCAGAGATGTACACGCGCCTGGAGAGGGAGGGCAGGGGCCGCAAGACCATCAAGGCCTGCGGCGCTCGTCGGGCCTGGGCTCGGGGGCAGGGTGACAGGGAAGGGGAGGGCGATGGAGGTGGGCACGGAAAGCGAGACAGCGATGCTCGGCGGCGAAGTCCGAATGCCACCTGCGCCGAACAGCGGTTCGGGCAACTCGAGGGGCGGCGGGGGTGATGTTCGGGATTCGCCGAGCACGCGTCGACATCCGAGCCCTACCCCAGGGTTAGTCAGGGTAGGGCTCGCACGTCGCCACCCATTTTTTAACACAAGTTGTCGGAGCTCCGTCAGCCCCTGGCCGCCAACGATGGGGACCCCTCCCCATTTCGAGCGCGCGCGCGCGTCGGGAAGAGTTTTTGTTGAGGCCCTCTGGCCCGTGCCCTCCTCCTCCTCCTCTTCCTCCTCCTCTTCCTCCTCCTCCTCCTCTTCCTCCTCCTCCTCCTCCTCCTCCTCCTCCTCCTCACCCTCCCCCTCTTCCTCCCTCCTCCTCCTCCTCCTCCTCCCCCCTCCCTCCTCCTCCTCCCCTCCTCCTCCTCCTCTCCTCCTCCTCCTCCTCCCCCTCCTCCCCCTCCGCTCCGCCTCCGCTCCTCCACCTCCTCCTCCTCCTCCTCCTCCGCCTCCTCCTCCTCCTCTCCTCCTCCTCCTCCTCCCTCCTCCTCCTCCTCCTCCTCCTCCTCCTCCTCCTCCTCCTCCTCCCTCCTCCTCCTCCTCCTCCTCCTCCTCCTCCTCCTCTCCTCCTCCCTCCCCTCCTCCTCCTCCTCCTCCTCCTCCTCCTCCTCCTCCTCCTCCTCCTCCTCCTCCTCCTCCTCCTCCTCCTCCTCCTCCTCCTCCTCCTCCTCCTCCTCCCTCCTCCTCCTCCTCCTCCTCCCTCTCCTCCTCCTCCTCCTCCTCCTCCTCCTCCTCCTCCTCCTCCTCCTCCTCCTCCTCCTCCTCCTCCTCCTCCTCCTCCTCCTCCTCCTCCTCCTCCTCCCCCCCCCCTCCGGAAGGGAAGTGTGAGGCGCAGGGGGCAGAGGAGGGAGGGAGAGGACGTAGAGGAGAATACGGACGACGGGGCGGAGGCCCCTCTTGCTTCCACGTGCCCTCGCTGTGCACAAAAATCCGTAGCCGGTTTGGCCCAAGGTTCCAGTCCTTGTCAGGTTTTGCTGCATACCGAACTTGTAATCGGCCTGTGGCGCCGACAGGGCCACCTTCACCTTGCTGATACGACGCGATGAGTTTGCTTCGCGTGCTGATTGTCTCTCTCCTGACGGTGACCACCCAGCTGAGCGTGCGCTCGGACGGAGACGGTGCGGGTGCGGATGACAAGGTGGACTCTCTCGTGTATGAGTTCGGGGGGTTCTTCGAGTTCGTCGGGCAGGTTAGCGATGCTCCTGCTGCTCCTGGCGAGCAGGCGGCGCAGCAGCAGCTCGTCGGGCACGACCGCAAGAGCGACGAGGCCTGGCCAGTGGGGTCGTGGCACGCTCCACTTCGGTCGAACGAAACCTACCCAGGGAAGGCGAACTGGCCGTTGTTCGACACGCCGCAGTGCTCCGCCGACGACATGACGGTCATCAACTACTGGGCGCTGAAGCAGGCGAAGAAGACGCTCCCGCAGGCCGCCCGCGCGGGGGACTTCAAGACGGGGTCCTGCTACAAAACGTTTACGACCGACTGGTGGTTCGGGATCTCGCAGTGGGTGTCGTGCTACCAGGAGTTCTACAACGTCTCCACACCGTGCGCCACCTGCATAGGTAGCGTCTACAACATGGCCAAGTACAACATGTCCGAGAACTGCTACAACCTCTGCAAAGGCCGCCCGTCGAGGAGGGACGGCTCCCACTGGTGCTGGGAGGACTGCCAGCAGTGCATGTGGTACGTCGGGCGGAAGCTGTCGGACTGCTACGGTGAGCCCTACGACATGACGTGCCGCTATGGCAAGGTCAGGGGGAGCGTTGGGTAGGGGTAGGCTCAGTGGGGGAATGCGTCGACCCCCAATCGCACACTGATATGGGCTCGATGGCCGACCCCGTCCATCAGCGTGCGGATATGCTCTCGGGGCTTTTCCCAGATCTATTGGCGATATACCGCCGATTCAATTCAAGGTCGATGTTTCCCCGGGGAGCTGCCCCCCCCTTCGTGCCCCCTCACAAGGAGCTTGGCAAGGAGGGGTACTTCGAGAAGAACGGCATCGACCCCAAGCGATGAGAAGAGCGTGTCGGCTGTTTGGGGCCAGCATCCTCGCGCTGTCCAGTTGTGTTCCCCCTTGCTGCGTTTGGCTGTAAGGGAACTTGCGCGTAGGCAATCAGTTTCCGCTGACTTGCGTCTGCCACATGAATGTGTATCTATATGTACACGCATATATATATATATACACACATAGATATGCACACACATCTATAGACAGCTGTATGAATTCAACCGGTTCCCTTACCCATGGAAAGCTGACAGAACTCCTGGCCCGTCCGGGGAGCCTGACTCTGGAGCGCCCCAGGAGGGCCCAAGGCGGCCCCAGATGTCCCCAAGACGGCCCCGGAGGGCTCCAGGAGCCCCCAGGAGGGCCCGACGAGCGCCCCCCGACGGCCACGATGGGCCCAAGATGGCCCAAGATGGGTCCAAGATGGTCACTCGACGGCCCGGCGGGCTCCCCAGATGGCCCAACGGCGGCACGAAGACAACTCCCAAGAGGGTTTTCCGTAGGTTTCGGCGGAATTGTCGCATTCTCGGTTTCTCGGTCTCCAGAGCGCCCGACACGGCCGCAGAAGCCCCCGAGATCGCTCCAAGATGGCCCAATGGGCGCCCAAGAGGGCCCTAAGGCGAGCCCAGGATGGCCCACGAGGGGTCCAAAACGGCCCCCAGACCGCCCCAGAACAACTCCAAGAGGCCCCCAAGATTGCCCTGGGGGGCCAAGAGGGCCCCAAGACGGCCCAGGAGGCCGCCTCCATAGCCATTTTGGCTCAAGGCTGGCTTTCAGCATTTTTACCTCATCCGTGCACTCCGCACACTCATTTCTACGACAGCTGGTTGCTCCATTTGCAGATGGCGCATGTCATTCTGTTCGCCAGCCTGTTCGTGGCCAGCGGCGTGTCCAGCCTGGCCTTTGCAGTAGACGTCGAGCTAATGCAGATGTCGACCATCGTTCCAGACGCAGCCACTCGGCGGACCGGCGCGACGTTGTTAATGAAGCTGAAGGCGGGCTCCACCACTTTCCAGTACGACTCCAGTTATTGGACAGATGGCAGTTCGGTGTTGAACGAGGCCAGCGGTGCTTCCAGCAGCGACTCTGACGACGAGGACGTCAAGATGTCGGCGTTCAACACAGTTTCGATCTCTGCCCTCACGTTGTGCTACAAGACGTTGGACAATTGCTACACGTACGAACTGGGTGCGACGTACACCAGCGCGCAATCGCTTTTCAGCTCGGGTTTCATCCGCAGCCTCAACATGGGTCATGGCTCTGGAACCGCTGCCGAAGGAAAGAAGGCCTGGACCGACCTGTTTCTGCCGCCGGGAACGGCAACCTGGTACGACGACTTCTGGAATGGGAACGGAGGTGGCAATTGCGATATGCAGCGGCCAGGAATCAACACCCAGTGCAATGACAACAATTGGGCCCGCATCGGGTACTGCGTGAACCTTCCTGACCAGAGTTGCCAGTCCTCTGACAGCAGCGATGCCGATTCTCCTGTAGGGATCGGGCTGAAGACGCAGAACTGGCCCAACAATGTCAACGCCCCTTTCGGCGAGTACTTCATACATGGCGCCGGGACGTCTGTGGTGCAGAGCTTCCAGCACCAAGCATGGCTCTTTGCAGGATCGGGCCCCACTCCCGGCGGGGCTGCTGCCATCGGTGATCCCCACCTTCAAAACATTCATGGTGACCGGTTCGACCTGATGAAGGAGGGCAGCCACGTTTTGATCAACATTCCTCGTGGAATGAGCGCTGAAAACGCATTGCTTCGCGTCCAGGCCGATGCGCGCCGGCTGGGAGGACATTGCGCGGATATGTACTTCCAGGAGTTGAACATTACGGGGTCGTGGGCAGATGCGAAACAAGCTGGTGGGTATCACTACAGCGTGTCGCAGTATGAGGTCAAGACTCCCGAATGGGTTGCTCTGGGTAAAGTTGAGCTGAAAGTCGTGCATGGGCATACGGATGGTGGCCTCCGCTACTTGAATGTGTACGTGAAGCATTTAGGGCGAGCAGGGTTTGCTGTCGGAGGTCTTCTGGGAGACGATGACCACGGGGACGTGATCGTTCCTCCAGAGGCGTGTGCCAAGCACCTGTCTCTGCCCGCGGAGAAGACGCACAAAACCAATGTGGTCTCAGTCGCGGAGGCAAGCCTGGCGTGATCGTGCGCTATGATGCGGCCGCTCATCAGGCGAGCGACGCAGGACAATGGGGGCCACCAGGCCTTCCCTTCGCCCCTCAGCCGCGGTCTGGCCTTCCCGGTGCGCCCACTGGTGAGTTGCTAGCCTGTGTATCTGCCAGTCCACAGGTGGTTGCGTAGGCTCTTCGGCCTCTTTCTGCCATCTCGGCTTGATTCTCCCCGACTCGGCATGTGCTCCTCGCCGCTGACACTTCTGTGCCTGTCCGATGACAAGCAAATCAATTCAACAAAAAAAGACGGCCCAGGAGGCCGCCAAGACGGCCTGAAAGCGGCTTCCCGAGACCCCGAAGAGGGCGCACTCGGCACGCTGCATAGTGCGGCGACGGTCACTCGACGGCCCGGCGGGCTCCCCAGATGGCCCAACGGCGGCACGAAGACAACTCCCAAGAAGGTTTTCCGTAGGTTTCGGCGGAATTGTCGCATTCTCGGTTTCTCGGTCTCCAGAGCGCCCGACACGGCCGCAGAAGCCCCCGAGATCGCTCCAAGATGGCCCAATGGGCGCCCAAGAGGGCCCTAAGGCGAGCCCAGGATGGCCCACGAGGGGTCCAAAACGGCCCCCAGACCGCCCCAGAACAACTCCAAGAGGCCCCCAAGATTGCCCTGGGGGGCCAAGAGGGCCCCAAGACGGCCCAGGAGGCCGCCTCCATAGCCATTTTGGCTCAAGGCTGGCTTTCAGCATTTTTACCTCATCCGTGCACTCCGCACACTCATTTCTACGACAGCTGGTTGCTCCATTTGCAGATGGCGCATGTCATTCTGTTCGCCAGCCTGTTCGTGGCCAGCGGCGTGTCCAGCCTGGCCTTTGCAGTAGACGTCGAGCTAATGCAGATGTCGACCATCGTTCCAGACGCAGCCACTCGACGGACCGGCGCGACGTTGTTAATGAAGCTGAAGGCGGGCTCCACCACTTTCCAGTACGACTCCAGTTATTGGACAGATGGCAGTTCGGTGTTGAACGAGGCCAGCGGTGCTTCCAGCAGCGACTCTGACGACGAGGACGTCAAGATGTCGGCGTTCAACACAGTTTCGATCTCTGCCCTCACGTTGTGCTACAAGACGTTGGACAATTGCTACACGTACGAACTGGGTGCGACGTACACCAGCGCGCAATCGCTTTTCAGCTCGGGTTTCATCCGCAGCCTCAACATGGGTCATGGCTCTGGAACCGCTGCCGAAGGAAAGAAGGCCTGGACCGACCTGTTTCTGCCGCCGGGAACGGCAACCTGGTACGACGACTTCTGGAATGGGAACGGAGGTGGCAATTGCGATATGCAGCGGCCAGGAATCAACACCCAGTGCAATGACAACAATTGGGCCCGCATCGGGTACTGCGTGAACCTTCCTGACCAGAGTTGCCAGTCCTCTGACAGCAGCGATGCCGATTCTCCTGTAGGGATCGGGCTGAAGACGCAGAACTGGCCCAACAATGTCAACGCCCCTTTCGGCGAGTACTTCATACATGGCGCCGGGACGTCTGTGGTGCAGAGCTTCCAGCACCAAGCATGGCTCTTTGCAGGATCGGGCCCACTCCCGGCGGGGCTGCTGCCATCGGTGATCCCCACCTTCAAAACATTCATGGTGACCGGTTCGACCTGATGAAGGAGGGCAGCCACGTTTTGATCAACATTCCTCGTGGAATGAGCGCTGAAAACGCATTGCTTCGCGTCCAGGCCGATGCGCGCCGGCTGGGAGGACATTGCGCGGATATGTACTTCCAGGAGTTGAACATTACGGGGTCGTGGGCAGATGCGAAACAAGCTGGTGGGTATCACTACAGCGTGTCGCAGTATGAGGTCAAGACTCCCGAATGGGTTGCCCTGGGTAAAGTTGAGCTGAAAGTCGTGCATGGGCATACGGATGGTGGCCTCCGCTACTTGAATGTGTACGTGAAGCATTTAGGGCGAGCAGGGTTTGCTGGTCGGAGGTCTCGCCAGCGAAGCAACCACGGGGAACGTGATCGTTTCCCCAGAGGCGTTTGCCAAGCACCTGTCTCCTGCCCCGCGGAGAAACGCACAAAACCAATGTGTTCTCAGTCGCAGAGGCAAGCCTGTGCGTGATCGAGCGCTAAGATGCGGGGACCGCTCATACAGGGAGCCCATCCAAGACAATGGGTGGCCAACCAGCAAGTGCCTTCCCATCGCGCCCGCAGCCTGCGGTCTGGCCTTCCCGTGCGCCCACTGGGTGAGTTGCTAGCCTGTGTATCTGCCAGTCCACAGTGGTTGCGTTATGCTCTTCGGGCCTCTTTCTGCCATCCCCGGCATGTATCTCCCCCGACTCGGCATGTCCCACGCCGCTGACACTCTGTCCAGTCCGATGACAAGCCAAATCAATTCACAAAAAAAGACGCCAGTGAAGGCCGGCAAGACGGCCTGGAAAGCGGCTTCCCGAGACCCCGAAGAGGGCGCACTCGGCACGCTGCATAGTGCGGCGACGGTCACTCGACGGCCCGGCGGGCTCCCCAGATGGCCCAACGGCGGCACGAAGACAACTCCCAAGAGGGATTTCCGTAGGTTTCGGCGGAATTGTCGCATTCTCGGTTTCTCGGTCTCCAGAGCGCCCGACACGGCCGCAGAATCCCCCCCTATAACTGCCCCAAGATGTGCCCAAAGGGCGCCCAATGAGGGCCCTAAGGCGACCCAGGGCTGGCCCACGAGGGGTCCAAAACCCCCCAGACCCGCCCCATAACAACTCCAAGAGGCCCCCAAGATTGCCCTGGGGGGCCAAGAGGGCCCCAAGACGGCCCAGGAGGCCGCCTCCATAGCCATTTTGGCTCAAGGCTGGCTTTCAGCATTTTAACCTCATCCGTGCACTCCGCACACTCATTTCTACGACAGCTGGTTGCTCCATTTGCAGATGGCGCATGTCATTCTGTTCGCCAGCCTGTTCGTGGCCAGCGGCGTGTCCAGCCTGGCCTTTGCAGTAGACGTCGAGCTAATGCAGATGTCGACCATCGTTCCAGACGCAGCCACTCGACGGACCGGCGCGACGTTGTTAATGAAGCTGAAGGCGGGCTCCACCACTTTCCAGTACGACTCCAGTTATTGGACAGATGGCAGTTCGGTGTTGAACGAGGCCAGCGGTGCTTCCAGCAGCGACTCTGACGACGAGGACGTCAAGATGTCGGCGTTCAACACAGTTTCGATCTCTGCCCTCACGTTGTGCTACAAGACGTTGGACAATTGCTACACGTACGAACTGGGTGCGACGTACACCAGCGCGCAATCGCTTTTCAGCTCGGGTTTCATCCGCAGCCTCAACATGGGTCATGGCTCTGGAACCGCTGCCGAAGGAAAGAAGGCCTGGACCGACCTGTTTCTGCCGCCGGGAACGGCAACCTGGTACGACGACTTCTGGAATGGGAACGGAGGTGGCAATTGCGATATGCAGCGGCCAGGAATCAACACCCAGTGCAATGACAACAATTGGGCCCGCATCGGGTACTGCGTGAACCTTCCTGACCAGAGTTGCCAGTCCTCTGACAGCAGCGATGCCGATTCTCCTGTAGGGATCGGGCTGAAGACGCAGAACTGGCCCAACAATGTCAACGCCCCTTTCGGCGAGTACTTCATACATGGCGCCGGGACGTCTGTGGTGCAGAGCTTCCAGCACCAAGCATGGCTCTTTGCAGGATCGGGCCCCGCTCCCGGCGGGGCTGCTGCCATCGGTGATCCCCACCTTCAAAACATTCATGGTGACCGGTTCGACCTGATGAAGGAGGGCAGCCACGTTTTGATCAACAGTCCTCGTGGAATGAGCGCTGAAAACGCATTGCTTCGCGTCCAGGCCGATGCGCGCCGGCTGGGAGGACATTGCCGAAAAGATACTCCAGGATATTGACAATACGGGTCGGGCAGTATGCAAACAACTGTTGGGTATCACTACAGCTGTCGCAGTATGAGGTCAGACTCCCGAAATGTTTTGCATCTGGGTAATTTTGAGCTGAAAGTCGTGCATCGTGTCATAACGATGTTGCCTCCGCTCTTGAAAGTGTAACTTGAAGCATTTATGGCTAGCAGGGTTTTAGCTGTCGGAGGTCTTCTGGGAGACGATGACCACGGGGACGTGATCGTTCCTCCAGAGGCGTGTGCCAAGCACCTGTCTCTGCCCGCGGAGAAGACGCACAAAACCAATGTGGTCTCAGTCGCGGAGGCAAGCCTGGCGTGATCGTGCGCTATGATGCGGCCGCTCATCAGGCGAGCGACGCAGGACAATGGGGGCCACCAGGCCTTCCCTTCGCCCCTCAGCCGCGGTCTGGCCTTCCCGGTGCGCCCACTGGTGAGTTGCTAGCCTGTGTATCTGCCAGTCCACAGGTGGTTGCGTAGGCTCTTCGGCCTCTTTCTGCCATCTCGGCTTGATTCTCCCCGACTCGGCATGTGCTCCTCGCCGCTGACACTTCTGTGCCTGTCCGATGACAAGCAAATCAATTCAACAAAAAAAGACGGCCCAGGAGGCCGCCAAGACGGCCTGAAAGCGGCTTCCCGAGACCCCGAAGAGGGCGCACTCGGCACGCTGCATAGTGCGGCGACGGTCACTCGACGGCCCGGCGGGCTCCCCAGATGGCCCAACGGCGGCACGAAGACAACTCCCAAGAGGGTTTTCCGTAGGTTTCGGCGGAATTGTCGCATTCTCGGTTTCTCGGTCTCCAGAGCGCCCGACACGGCCGCAGAAGCCCCCGAGATCGCTCCAAGATGGCCCAATGGGCGCCCAAGAGGGCCCTAAGGCGAGCCCAGGATGGCCCACGAGGGGTCCAAAACGGCCCCCAGACCGCCCCAGAACAACTCCAAGAGGCCCCCAAGATTGCCCTGGGGGGCCAAGAGGGCCCCAAGACGGCCCAGGAGGCCGCCTCCATAGCCATTTTGGCTCAAGGCTGGCTTTCAGCATTTTAACCTCATCCGTGCACTCCGCACACTCATTTCTACGACAGCTGGTTGCTCCATTTGCAGATGGCGCATGTCATTCTGTTCGCCAGCCTGTTCGTGGCCAGCTGCGTGCCAGCCTGGCCTTTGCAGTAGAACTACCGAGCTAATGCCAGATGCGACCAACGATCCAGTACGCAGCCACTCGACTGAACCTGGCGCGACGTTGTTAATGAAGCTGAAGGCGGGCCCACCAATTCCAGTATCGACTCCATTGTATATGGACAGATGGCAAGTTCGGTGTTGAATCAGGCCAGCGGTGCTTTCCAGCAGCGACTCAGACGACGAGGACGTCAAGATGTCGGCGTTCAACACAGTTTCGATCTCTGCCCTCACGTTGTGCTACAAGACGTTGGACAATTGCTACACGTACGAACTGGGCGCGACGTACACCAGCGCGCAATCGCTTTTCAGCTCGGGTTTCATCCGCAGCCTCAACATGGGTTATGGCTCTGGAACCGCTGCCGAAGGAAAGAAGGCCTGGACCGATCTGTTTCTGCCGCCGGGAACGGCAACCTGGTACGACGACTTCTGGAATGGGTACGGAGGTGGCAATTGCGATATGCAGCGGCCAGGAATCAACACCCAGTGCAATGACTACAATTGGGCCCGCATCGGGTACTGCGTGAACCTTCCTGACCAGAGTTGCCAGCCCTTTGACGGCAGCGATGCCGACTCTCCTGTAGGGATCGGGCTGAAGACGCAGAACTGGCCCAACAATGTCAACGCCCCTTTCGGCGAGTACTTCATACATGGCGCCGGGTCGTCTGTGGTGCAGAGCTTCCAGCACCAAGCATGGCTCTTTGCAGGATCGGGCCCCGCTCCCGGCGGGGCTGCTGCCATCGGTGATCCTCACCTTCAAAACATTCATGGTGACCGGTTCGACCTGATGAAGGCGGGCAGCCACGTTTTGATCAACATTCCTCGTGGAATGAGCGCTGAAAACGCATTGCTTCGCGTCCAGGCCGATGCGCGCTGGCTGGGAGGACATTGCGCGGATATGTACTTCCAGGAGTTGAACATTACGGGGTCGTGGGCAGATGCGAAACAAGCTGGTGGGTATCACTACAGCGTGTCGCAGTATGAGGTCAAGACTCCCGAATGGGTTGCTCTGGGTAGGGTTGAGCTGAAAGTCGTGCATGGGCATACGGATGGTGGCCTCCGCTACTTGAATGTGTACGTGAAGCATTTAGGGCGAGCAGGGTTTGCTGTCGGAGGTCTTCTGGGAGACGATGACCACGGGGACGTGATCGTTCCTCCAGAGGCGTGTGCCAAGCACCTGTCTCTGCCCGCGGAGAAGACGCACAAAACCAATGTGGTCTCAGTCGCGGAGGCAAGCCTGGCGTGATCGTGCGCTATGATGCGGCCGCTCATCAGGCGAGCGACGCAGGACAATGGGGGCCACCAGGCCTTCCCTTCGCCCCTCAGCCGCGGTCTGGCCTTCCCGGTGCGCCCACTGGTGAGTTGCTAGCCTGTGTATCTGCCAGTCCACAGGTGGTTGCGTAGGCTCTTCGGCCTCTTTCTGCCATCTCGGCTTGATTCTCCCCGACTCGGCATGTGCTCCTCGCCGCTGACACTTCTGTGCCTGTCCGATGACAAGCAAATCAATTCAACAAAAAAAGACGGCCCAGGAGGCCGCCAAGACGGCCTGAAAGCGGCTTCCCGAGACCCCGAAGAGGGCCCACTCGGCACGCTGCATAGTGCGGCGACGGTCAGAAATTAGATATCTCGAAATATAAACATACATCCATATATATATATACACATACATATCTATATATATATATACACACACACGTAATTAGCACCCCGCAGTTGCGGATACGAGTGAGGGGGCGGCGGGGACGTCGGCAGTCTGCGAGGCTCAAAAGAAGCCGGTCGCAGACGCTTAGTTTTTACAAATCAATCAACGAGCTCGCCGCAGGCGACGGTTGTTCCGTTAAATCAATGTGAGTGGGTCGCGGGGTGGGTCGCGGGATGAGTCGCGGGTGGGTCGCGGGTGGGTCGCGGGTGAGTCGCGGGTTGGTCGCGGGCGGGTCGCGGGCGGGTCGCGGGTGGGTCGCGGGTGGGTTGCGGCTGGTTCGCGGGTGGGTCGCGGGCGGGTCGCAGGCCGGATCGTGGGTGGGCCGCGGGTGGGTACCGGGCGGGTCGTGGGCACGACAAACAACAAGACGAAACAGCAAACAATAACCAACGATAACAACAACAGTTCGTTCGTTCGTTCGCTCGTTCACAACAAGAACAGCAATGACAACAACATTCACAGCAACAGGCAATCAGTTTAATCTTGTTCGCTCGTATGTGCGCGCGTGCTATTCAACACGTATATGCCAAACCCTCGATGCCCGCCCTCGTCATCTTCTCATGCAGCCCCTATGGCAGGGGATGAGAGGACGGATGGAAGAAAGGGACAGGGGGAGGGAGGAGGATGGAGCAAGAGAGAGAGAGAGAGTAACAGGAGAGGGGGTAGGAACAGAAAGTACGTGGCAGAGCCAGACGGGCACATTGGGCAGGTAGACCCTAACAGGCGGGTCGGGCAGGCGGGCTCGGGCGGCCAGGTCGAGCAGGCGGGTTGCTGAAGCGTGCGTCCTGCATGAATCGCGAGTCTCGAGCGATAGCGCGATTCCCAAGTAAATCGTGAGATAGGCCAAAGCCAGACCGTGATTCCTGATTGTCGAGGGCGAGGCGTCATAATACATGTCGAGGAAGTCCCACGCGAGAGCGCGATTCCTACATAAAGAGAGCGCGGTTTGGGAATGCATTGTGAGGAAGTATCAGGCGGGAACCTTTTGTTGTTGTAACTCGGAGGCCAGGGAACCAATTCTGAGACCCAAGATTTTCCCTTTAAAGAAGCAGGGTGCGAGCTCCGAGACGGAGCACTTCCATAACAAATGTGGCCCGTATGGGGGGACCAACCATAGCCATTATCTAGTAGTGAGAGTCCAATAGCAACAACAGCAGCAACAACAGCACCAATCAGATTAAGACTGTTCGTTCTGATCTGCTCGCTCGCGGGCCATTCAACACGTATATCCCCAACCCTCGATACCCGCCCGCTGAGTCTTCGATCGTATTCCTTTTGGGGCATACATTTGTACATTATTGAATATGTATATATGTATATATGTATATGTATATATATATACATATATATATATATATGCAACGTGTATTTCGTCCAGCCCCTCAGGCACGGGAGCAGGTTCGGATGGAATGAAGGGACAAGAGGGAGGGAGGAGGATAGAGCACGACAGAGAGTAGGTAGCAGGAGGGGGGGAGGCCAGGAGCAGAAAATACGTGGCTGAACCAGACGGGCAGACGACCGGGCGAGTAGACCTTAACGAGCGGGTCGGGAAGGAGGGCCCGGGCGGCCAGGTCGAACAGGCGGGTTGCTGAAGCGTGCGTCCTGCATGGATCGCGGAGAAGTCTTGAGCGATAACGTGATTCCCAAATACATTGGGATGAAATCCACAGCGACAGCGTGATCCTGACTGTCGAGGGCGCGGCGTCTGAATAGATTGCGAGAAATTCCCACGCGAGATCGCGATTCTTGTATGAATTGTGAGGGCCTTCCGCGCGAGAACGCGATTTGGGAATACATTGTGACAAAATATCAAGCGGGGGCCAGGGGGCACAGTTTGGTGACACCTCGCACTTCGCATTCCCTTGTTGAGAACAGGGTGCGATCCCCGGGGAAAACGCTTGAATTGAAACATACAACGGCTACCGTGCAGGGGGACCAACCGAAATCATTTCGAAATGAGAAGCCAACCACAATACGCACCGCAGAACCTCACTTCAGCCACGCGCCCAAAGACGGTGGATGACCGTTCGGCCACCCTCGCTCCGATATATATATATATATATATATATATATATGTGTGTGTGCGTGTGTGTGTGTGTGCGTGTGTGTGTGTGTGTGTGTTTTTGTGTGTGTGTGTGTGCGTGTGTGTCTCTCGGAGTAGGCCGCGGGCGGGACCAGCACCAGGGCCACCGGTGCGCATGACCGCTCCAGGGGCCCCGTGGGCGCCCCCGTGGTCCCCGAGGGCAGCCCCGTGGGCGTACGGATGGCCCACAAGTGGGGACGACCACGGTCCACCAGACTGGTCCATCACACCCCGGGAGCGCCGCAGATGCTTTGTGAACGGCCTCCGAAGGCCTCCCGGCTGCGCCACGGCGGCCCCGGGCAGGCTTCACTGGGCGCCAGTGATCCCAGGCGAGCGTCCCAAGAGGCAGTGTCTCTGGGGTCCTCCACGTTCCGAGCTGAGACGGGCCAAGAGGCCCCCAAGGAGGTCGAATAGGGCTCCAAGACGGCCCCAGGGGCGCCCAAGACGTGCCAGGAGGCCCTGAACACGGCCCCAACAGGGGCTCAAGAGGGGGAGCATGGACCGAGCTCCCAGGAGGCCCCAAGAAGGCCTCCAGGGGCTGCCACGAGGCCCCAAGAGGCCCCCACGACGCTCCAGGGGGGCGGCGGCCCCCAAGAGGCACACGCGAGGCCTCCCTCGGCATCCCACCGAACACCCTGAAGAGGCTGTTGACCCACAGCCCAGGCACGGTGGCGGGATGGGCCGAAGGCCATTCCAGCCTCTTTCGTGCACCCCCTGCGCTCCTCCTCACATTCCTTCGGTGGCCTTCCCATCTCCTACAGCTTTCCTTTTGTTCCCACTCCGTCATATTCCCGGAGAGCCTTCCAGGAGCATGACTGTCGCCGCCAGTCCGACGAAGACACCGTACGGAAGGAGGAGGGTCCGCGCCATCACACGTAACATCCCAATTCAGCGGAGAGTTTCCATGGGACCCGTTCAGAGTGGAATCGGGATCGGGCCCGCGGCCCCGCTCCGAGTGGACTTGGTGTCGAGGGGTGCTGTTTGCAGCTGCCGCTCTCCTCTGACAATCAGCCTGGCGAAGGACGCAACCATATGCAGTTGTGAGTACCGCAATTGTGAATCTCTTCGGTGGCGCTCCCTATGGGGCCACGAACCCCGTGAGGGGTGTGCTGACATGGGTGTGTGTGTGTGTGGGTGTGTGGGGGGGGGAGCGCATGCGGGCGGTGGCATTGGGGCCGTCGGTAGAGCTCCCTATAAGGCCACGAAACGTGTGAGGGGTGTGCCGTATTGGGTGTGGCTGACGCACGCGGGCAGTGGCACTGGGGCCTTCGGTGGAGCTTGCTATGGGGCCACGGAACGTATGAGGGGTGTGCCGAAGTGGGTGTGGCTGACGCATGCGGGCGGTGGCACTGGGGCTTTCGGTGGAGCTCCCTATGGGGCCACGAAGCGTATGAGGGGTGTGCCGAATGGGGCGTAGCTGACGCATGCGGGCGGCGGCACTGGGGCTTTCGGTGGAGCCCCCTATGGGGCTACGAAGCGTGTGAGGGGTGTGCCGAAGTGGGTTTGGCTGACGCGTGCGGGCGGTGGCACTGGGGCCTTCGGCGGTGTGGCCACGAAGCGTGTGAGGGGTGTGCCGAAGTGAGTGTGGCTGACGCATGCGGGCGGTGGCACTGGGGCCGTCGGTGGAGCTTCCTCTGGGCCAAGAGGGCCCCAAGACGGCCGCAGAAGCCCCCGAGATCGCTCCAAGATGGCCCAATGGGCGCCCAAGAGGGCCCTAAGGCGAGCCCAGGATGGCCCACGAGGGGTCCAAAACGGCCCCCAGACCGCCCCAGAACAACTCCAAGAGGCCCCCAAGATTGCCCTGGGGGGCCAAGAGGGCCCCAAGACGGCCCAGGAGGCCGCCTCCATAGCCATTTTGGCTCAAGGCTGGCTTTCAGCATTTTAACCTCATCCGTGCACTCCGCACACTCATTTCTACGACAGCTGTTTGCTCCATTTGCAGATGGCGCATGTCATTCTGTTCGCCAGCCTGTTCGTGGCCAGCGGCGTGTCCAGCCTGGCCTTTGCAGTAGACGTCGAGCTAATGCAGATGTCGACCATCGTTCCAGACGCAGCCACTCGGCGGACCGGCGCGACGTTGTTAATGAAGCTGAAGGCGGGCTCCACCACTTTCCAGTACGACTCCAGTTATTGGACAGATGGCAGTTCGGTGTTGAACGAGGCCAGCGGTGCTTCCAGCAGCGACTCTGACGACGAGGACGTCAAGATGTCGGCGTTCAACACAGTTTCGATCTCTGCCCTCACGTTGTGCTACAAGACGTTGGACAATTGCTACACGTACGAACTGGGTGCGACGTACACCAGCGCGCAATCGCTTTTCAGCTCGGGTTTCATCCGCAGCCTCAACATGGGTCATGGCTCTGGAACCGCTGCCGAAGGAAAGAAGGCCTGGACCGACCTGTTTCTGCCGCCGGGAACGGCAACCTGGTACGACGACTTCTGGAATGGGAACGGAGGTGGCAATTGCGATATGCAGCGGCCAGGAATCAACACCCAGTGCAATGACAACAATTGGGCCCGCATCGGGTACTGCGTGAACCTTCCTGACCAGAGTTGCCAGTCCTCTGACAGCAGCGATGCCGATTCTCCTGTAGGGATCGGGCTGAAGACGCAGAACTGGCCCAACAATGTCAACGCCCCTTTCGGCGAGTACTTCATACATGGCGCCGGGTCGTCTGTGGTGCAGAGCTTCCAGCACCAAGCATGGCTCTTTGCAGGATCGGGCTGTGTTGCTGGGAAGCGGATTAGCAGTGTTTGGCCGTGGTCGCATGGCCCAAGCTTTGCCAGGCACCGTGCCCGATCTATAGGGTTCGACACGGGGGGGGGGGGGGGGGTCCACCTGCACGGAGTCGAGTACCACGTCGCGGACCAGCACTACGGATTCCAGCAGCACAACGGCATCCACCACTACGGCATCCAGCACCACGTCGCGGACAAGCACCACGGAAACGAGCAGCACCACGGTTTCTACCACGACGGCGTCGAGCACCACGTCGCGGACCAGCTCTTCGGCAACGAGCAGCACTACGAGGTCGACTACCACGGAGTCCAGCACGACGTCCTGGACCAGCACTACGGAAACGAGCAGCACAACGAGATCTTCCACTACAGGGTCAAGCACTACGTCGAGATCCAGCACTACGGAAACGAGCAGCTCCACGAGGTCTTCTACTACGGAGTCGAGCACCACATCAGGGACCAGCACCACGCAATCGAGCAGCACCACAGGGTCCACGACTACCGAGTCGAGCAGTACCACGGTGTCCAGCACCACGGATTCGAGCACGACTTCGCGGACCAGCACCACGGAAACGAGCAGCACAACGGGGTCCACCACCACGGCATCCAGCACCATTTCGCGAACAAGCACTACCGAATCGAGCACTACCACGGTGTCCACCACGTCGGAGTCTAGCAGCACGTCGTGGACCAGCACCACGGAAACCAGCAGCATCACGGTGTCCACCACGACGGAGTCGAGTACCACGTCGCGGACCAGCACCACCGAAACAAGCAGCACCACGGTGTCCACCACGTCAGAGTCGAGTACCACGTCGCGGACCAGCACAACGGACTCAAGCAGTACCACCCGGTCCACCACGACGGAGTCGAGCAGTACCACGGGGTCCAGTACGACGGAGACGAGCACTACGTCGCGGAGCAGCACTACGGAAACCAGCAGTACCACAGAGTCCACAACGACGGAATCGAGCACGACGTCTCGGACGAGCAGCACAGAAACGAGCAGCACCACCGCTTCCACCACAGCACAGTCTAGCACGAAGTCGCGGACCAGCACGACGGAAACGAGCAGCACAACGAGGTCTTCTACTACAGAGTCGAGCACTACGTCGAGATCCAGCACTACGGAAACGAGCAGCTCCACGAGGTCTTCTACTACGGAGTCGAGCACCACATCAGGGACCAGCACTACGGAAACGACCAGCACCACAGTGTCCACGACTACCGAGTCGAGCAGTACCACGGTGTCCAGCACTTCGGATTCGAGCACGTCATCGCGGACCAGCACCACAGAAACAAGCAGCATAACGGGGTCCACCACCACGGCATCCAGCACCACTTCGCGAACAAGCACTACCGAATCGAGCACTACTACGGTGTCCACCACGTCGGAGTCTAGCAGCACGTCGTGGACTAGCACCACGGAAACGAGCAGCACCACGGTGTCCACCACGACGGAGTCTAGCAGCACGTCGCGGACCAGCACCACCGAAACAAGCAGCATCACGGTGTCCACCACGTCGGAGTCGAGTACCACGTCGCGGACCAGCACTACGGAATCAAGCAGTACCACGGGGTCCACCACCACGGAAACGAGCAGCAGCACGGGTTCCACGATGACGGATTCGAGCACAACATCGCGAACAAGCGCTACAGAGACGAGCAGCACAACAGTTTCCACCAGCACGGATTCTAGCACGACGTCGCGGTCCAGCACCACGGAAACCAGCAGTACAACAAGGTCTTCCACTACGGATTCGAGCAGTACATCTCAATCTAGCACTACAGACACCAGTAGCACCACGAGATCTTCTACTACTGAGTCGAGCACCACATCGCCGTCAAGCACTACGGAAACGAGCAGTACCACTGGGTCCACCACTACGGGGACCAGCACTACCACGGGGTCCACGATGACAGGGTCGAGCACGTCATCGCGGACGAGCACTACCGAAACGAGCAGTACCACCGTGTCCACCACCACGAACTCGAGCACGACGTCGCGGACGAGCACTACGGTAACGAGCAGCACCACGGTGTCCACCACTACGGGGACAAGCACGACGTCGCGGACCAGCACTACAGAAACGAGTAGTATCACCGGGTCTTCCACAACGGGATCGAGCACCGCGTCACGGACTAGCACTACGGAGACGAGCACTACCACGGCGTCCTCCACAACGGAGTCCAGCACGACATCCAGGACAAGTTCTACGGGAACAAGCAGTAGCACGGGGTCCAGCACCACGGAGTCAAGCACTACGTCGCGCACCAGCAAGACAGAGTCGAGCAGCACCACTGTGTCCACAACGACGGAGTCGAGCAGCACCACGGTACGGTGTCCACCACGTCGGAGTCGAGTACCACGTCGCGGACCAGCACTACAGATACAAGCAGCACAACGGCATCCACCTCTACGGCATCCAGCACTACGTCGCGGACAAGCTCCACGGAAACGAGCAGCACCACGGTTTCCACCACGACGGCGTCGAGCACCACGTCGTGGACCAGCATTTCGGCAACGAGCAGCACTACGAGGTCGACTACCACGGAGTCCAGCACGACGTCGGGGACCAGCACTACGGAAACGAGCAGCACAACGAGGTCTTCCACTACAGAGTCTAGCACTGCGTCGAGATCCAGCACCACAGGGACGAGCAGCTCCACGAGGTCTTCTACTACGGACTCGAGCACCAAGTCGCGGACCAGCACCACGCAATCGAGCAGCACCACAGGTTCCACGACTACCGAGTCGAGCAGTACCACGGTGTCCAGCACCACGGATTCGAGCACGACTTCGCGGACCAGCACCACGGAAACGAGTAGCACAACGGGGTCCACCACCACGGCATCCAGCACCATTTCGCGAACAAGCACTACCGAATCGAGCACTACCACGGTGTCCACCACGTCGGAGTCTAGCAGCACGTCGCGGACCAGCACCACCGAAACCAGCAGCATCACGGTGTCCACCACGACGGAGTCGAGTACCACGTCGCGGACCAGCACCACCGAAACAAGCAGCACCACGGTGTCCACCACGTCAGAGTCGAGTACCACGTCGCGGACCAGCACAACGGATTCAAGCAGTACCACCCGGTCCACCACTACGGAGTCGAGCAGTACCACGGGGTCCAGCACGACGGAGACGAGCACTACGTCGCGGAGCAGCACTACGGAAACCAGCAGTACCACAGAGTCCACAACGACGGAATCGAGCACGACGTCTCGGACGAGCAGCACAGAAACGAGCAGCACCACCGCTTCCACCACAACACAGTCTAGCACGACGTCGTGGACCAGCACGACGGAAACGAGCAGCACAACGAGGTCTTCTACTACAGAGTCGAGCACTACGTCGAGATCCAGCACTACGGAAACGAGCAGCTCCACGAGGTCTTCTACTACGGAGTCGAGCACCACATCAGGGACCAGCACTACGGAAACGACCAGCACCACAGGGTCCACGACTACCGAATCGAGCAGTACCACGGTGTCCAGCACTTCGGATTCGAGCACGTCATCGCGGACCAGCACCACAGAAACGAGCAGCACAACGGGGTCCACCACCACGGCATCCAGCACCATTTCGCGAACAAGCACTACCGAATCGAGCACTACCACGGTGTCCACCACGACGGAGTCTAGCAGCACGTCGCGGACCAGCACCACCGAAACAAGCAGCACCACGGTGTCCACCACGTCGGAGTCGAGTACCACGTCGCGGACCAGCACTACGGAAACGAGCAGCACCACGGTGTCCAGCACGACGGAGTCTAGCAGCACGACGGAGTCTAGCAGCACGAGAACCAGCTGCACCATTCACAGCAGCACGACAAGAAGCAGCAGCACCACTGTAAGCAGCATGAGCGCATCTAGCAGCACCACCGTCACCAGCACGACGGCAAGCAGCAGCACCACGCGCAGCAGCACTAGCGCCTCCAGCAGCACTACTGCGACCAGCATGAGTGGATCCAGCAGCACCACGCGCAGCAGCACTAGCGCCTCTAGCAGCACCACTGCGACTAGCACGAGTGCCACCAGCAGCACCACGCGCAGCAGCACCAGCGCAACCAGCAGCATCACTGCGACCAGCACGAGTGCCACCAGCAGCACCACTCGCAGCAGCACCAGCTCAACCAGTAGCACAACTGTGACTAGCACGACAGGAACCAGCAGCACCACCGGCAGCAGCACCAGCGCAACCAGCAGCACCATTGTGACGAGTACAAGCAAAACCAGCACCACATCTGTGACTAGCAGCACCACTCACAGCAGCATCAGCGTATCCAGCAGCACCACCGTGACCAGCACAACGGGAACCAGCAGCACCACGCGCAGCAGCACGAGTGCCACCAGCAGCACCAGCGTCACCAGCACGAGTGGAACGAGCAGCACCACTGTTACAAGTACGACGGGATCCAGCAGCACCACAGTGACCACCACGACGGGTACCAGCAGCACAACGCGTAGCAGCACCAGTGCCACAAGCAGCTCCACCGTGACCAGCACGAGTGACACCAGCAGCACCACGCGAAGCAGCACGAGTGCCACCAGCAGCACCAGCGTCACCAGCACGACGAGAACCAGCAGCACCACCCACAGCAGCACGACCAGAAGCAGCAGCACCACTGTAAGCAGCATAGCAGCACCACCGTCACCAGCACGACGGCAAGCAGCAGCACCACGCGCAGCAGCACTAGCGCCTCCAGCAGCACTACTGCGACCAGCATGAGCGGATCCAGCAGCACCACGCGCAGCAGCACTAGCGCCTCTAGCAGCACCACTGCGACTAGCACGAGTGCCACCAGCAGCACCACGCGCAGCAGCACCAGCGCAACCAGCAGCATCACTGCGACCAGCACGAGTGCCACCAGCAGCACCACTCGCAGCAGCACCAGCGCAACCAGTAGCACAACTGTGACCAGCACGACAGGAACCAGCAGCACCACCGGCAGCAGCACCAGCGCAACCAGCAGCACCATTGTGACGAGTACAAGCAAAACCAGCAGCACATCTGTGACTAGCAGCACCACTCACAGCAGTATCAGCGTATCCAGCAGCACCACCGTGACCAGCACAACGGGAACCAGCAGCACCACGCGCAGCAGCACGAGTGCCACCAGCAGCACCAGCGTCACCAGCACGAGTGGAACGAGCAGCACCACTGTTACAAGTACGACGGGATCCAGCAGCACCACAGTGACCACCACGACGGGTACCAGCAGCACAACGCGTAGCAGCACCAGTGCCACAAGCAGCTCCACCGTGACCAGCACGAGTGACACCAGCAGCACCACGCGAAGCAGCACGAGTGCCACCAGCAGCACCAGCGTCACCAGCACGACGAGAACCAGCAGCACCACCCACAGCAGCACGACAAGAAGCAGCAGCACCACTGTAAGCAGCATGAGCGCATCCAGCAGCATCACCAGCACGACGGGAACAGCAGCACCACGCGCAGCAGCACTAGCGCCTCCAGCAGCACTACTGCGACCAGCACCAGTGGATCCAGCAGCACCACGCGCAGCAGCACTAGCGCCACCAGCAGCACCACTGCGACCAACACCACCAGCAGTGCCACCAGCAGCGCCACTGCGACCAGCACGAGTGCTACCAGCAGCATCACCCGCAGCAGCACCAGTGCCACCAGCAGCACCACGGTGACGAGCACAAGCATAACCAGCAGCACTAGCGCATCCAGCAGCACCACCGTGACCAGCACAACGGGAACCAGCAGCACCACGCACAGCAGCACCAGCGCCACCAGCAGCAGCAGCACTGTTACCAGCACGAGTGGAACAAGCAGCAGCACAGTGACCAGCACGACGGGATCCAGTAGCACCACTGCGACCAGCACGAGTGCCACCAGCAGCACCACTCGCAGCAGCACCAGCGCAACCAGTAGCACTACTGTGACCAGCACGACGGGAACCAGCAGCACCACCGGCAGCAGCACCAGCGCAACCAGCAGCACGATTGTGACGAGCACTACGTCGAGATCCAGCACTACGTCGAGATCCAGCACTACAGAAACGAGCAGCTCCACGAGGTCTTCTACTACGGAGTCGAGCACCACATCACGGACCAGCACTACGGAAACGAGCAGCGCCACAGGGTCCACGACTACCGAGTCGAGCAGTACCACGGTGTCCAGCACCACGGATTCGAGCACGACTTCGCGGACCAGCACCACGGAAACGAGCAGCACAACGGGGTCCACCACCACGGCATCCAGCACCACTTCGCGAACAAGCACCACTGAATCGAGCACTACCACAGTGTCCACCACGTCGGAGTCTAGCAGCACGTCGCGGACCAGCACCACGGAAACCAGCAGCATCACGGTGTCTACCACGACGGAGTCGAGTACCACGTCGCTGACCAGCACCACCGAAACAAGCAGCACCACGGTGTCCACCACGTCGGAGTCGAGTACCACGTCGCGGACCAGCACTACGGATTCAAGCAGTATCACGGGGTCCACCACCACGGAAACGAGCAGCACTACGGGTTCTACGATGACGGATTCGAGCACAACATCGCGGACAACCACTACAGAAACGAGCAGCATCACACTTTCCACCAGCACATATTCTAGCACGACGTCGCGGTCCAGCACGACGGAAACCAGCAGTACAACAAGGTCTTCCACTACGGAGTCGAGCAGTACTTCGCAATCTAGCACTACGGACACCAGTAGCACCACGAGATCTTCTACTACTGAGTCGAGCACCACATCGCGGTCAAGTACTACGGAAACGAGCAGTACCACTGGGTCCACCACTACGGGGACCAGCAGCACCACGGGGTCCACGATGACAGGGTCGAGCACGTCGTCGCGGACGAGCACTACCGAAACGAGCAGCACCACCGTGTCCACCACCACGAACTCGAGCACGACGTCGCGGACGAGCACTACGGTAACGAGCAGCACCACGGTGTCCACCACTACGGGGACAAGCACGACGTCGCGGACCAGCACTACAGAAACGAGCAGTACCACGGGGTCTTCCACAACGCGATCGAGCACCACATCACGGACCAGCACAACGGAGACGAGCACTACCACGGCGTCCACCACAACGGAGTCCAGCACGACATCCCAGACAAGTAGTTCGGTTACTACCTTATCTACGCTCTCCTCTCTTTCTTCGTCCACACCGAGCTCCACTACTGAGAGTTCAAGCACCACACTGTCGTCCAGAACTGTTAGTTCAGGCACGTATACTTCTACCACAACCTTATCTTCAACAAGTGCAAGTTCGACAGCCACGTCGATTTCAACCACGAGGACCTCTACTGCGAGCTCAAGTGCAACATCGTCATCACAAACCTTGAGTTCGTCCACGACTAGTTCAAGCACGACCTTAACCTCGACCAGCGTATCTTCTACTTCAACCACGTTGAGTTTAACTTCCACCTTGACGTCGACCAGTAGTGTGTCTACTACCTCTTTGAGTTCGGGAACAAGCTTGACTTCAGTGACGGAGAGTTCCACCACCACCACCACCAGTTCCAGCACAAGTTCCACCACTCTATCTTCGGTTACTGAAACGTCTTCAAGCACCTCGAGTTCTTCCTCAACCACCACTGTGACGTCTTCGACGGGGACTTCAAGTACGACTTTTACCGAGACGTCGACTCTTTCCACAGCCACGTTCACCACAACCTCAGCTACCTCGACCACAGACAGCTCAACCAGTCAGTCGTCCACCACGACAGCCACGAAAACATCGACGCTGTCCTCAACCACGGTCTCGTCGTCGACCCGGAGCTCTACCACTGGGACGTCCACCACGTCTGCGAGTTACACAGACACGTCCACCGTGACGGCGAGTCTAACAAAGACGTCCACCACGACTGCCACTGAGACGACGTCGATGACATCCAGCACCACAATATCGACCTCCGTGACGTCCACAACAACAATCTCTACAACCGAGTCGTCATCATTAACCAGCTCCACCACGTTTCACTCAACGACCGCCTCCAGCCTAACGGCATCAAGCAGGACAGAGACGGTAACCACTGGTACGGTGACCACTGGCACGATCACCACTGGTACGGTGACCACTGGCGTTTTTCCTTAGTGAGGGCTGATGTCGCGATTTCTTTCACAACCCCCCTAAACGATACATCGGTAGAAGTTGTTGCGCGTGCAGCGATTGCAACCTTCTTGAACATCTCGCAGTCGAAGGTCACGATCAACTCCGTCGTCGTCAGAAACACGTCAAGGCACTTGTCGCTTCAAAGAAGATTGGCCAGTCAAGTGTGGGACATCGACTACACAATTACAGTTGAGGGTACAAACACTGATGAGACCGAAGAGACATTGTTGCGTCTGTATGACAACACTTCGCAGTTCCATGAGTTTGTCGAGGACGAGCTCGATGAGAAAGGGCTTCCTAGTGACATCGTGGAGCGGGTGGAATCGTCGGTGCCCGTGGTCGAACTTTGGATATATACTACAGCGACGTTGACTTCCACGTCGACGCTGACCTCCACGACGGTGACCTCCACGTCGGTGACCTCCACGTTAACGTCCACAACTTGCTGTGTATGTGCTCTCCCTATGTTCGCTGGTATTCCTGTAGGGATAAGTGGACCCGGCTTCACTTCATCATCGGGGTTGGATACCATAGTACGCATCGAATGCTCGGGCATCAAATATGGAGACGTTTGCGAGCCTGTTTGTGGTGTGGGGCATGTTGCAAATGGGACAATGGTCTGCAGCGGCGAGACGGAGATGTTCGAGGGACGTGCTGACTGCGTGCCTGACACCTGTGTTGGCAGTCCAGCATTGCCTACCGGCTATGAGACAGAGGATGCAAATTGCGTAAACATGCTTTACCCCGAGACATGCCGCATAACCTGTTCCGAGGGCTACGAGAACCTACTTGGGACCTCCATCGAAGTTCAGTGTACAGCCGACACGTCTTACAATATGTCAAAGGGTGACGGGTCTTGCACAGAATCGCGTTGCTACGCCTTCTCGCCGCCTGGCATGTTGAACGTGGCCGACAGCTCGTCTTGCATCGGTATTGCGAGCCGTGAGTCGTGCTCGCCAGTTTGCGATGACGGTTACCAGCTGGTTGAGCCAATCAATTGCACTTTGGGCTCGTTTGAGATGATTCCGGTGGTCTGCGCCTCCGATGCGGACGCGGAGGCGCTCGAACGTGTCGAGGTCTTACTGGTGGAGATTGCGTTCGTTGCCGGTCAGACGAATTCGGGCATTACGGCGGAGTGGGCTGGCAGTGGGACCAGGGTTCCGATGCAAAGCGCGCTCGGCGACGTTTTAGGCTTGTACCCAGAGCAGGTTTATTTTCTGGAGATGAAGGACCTGAACTCAGACTCAGCGTCTGGTATTCCAGCGAGGCGTTTAAGAGGAGAGGAGGGCCTGTTCGTCAAGCTGTGGCTCCAGCTGTACCCGATTAACGACCGCACGGCGGTCGAGGTTGGCCTGGCCGACCTCGGGACGAGCAATCTCACCAGTCGTTTCGTCAGTTTCCTGCAGGAGGCCGGCGTCGCGGTGCCGGCGGGCCTCCGGACGGCCGCGGTCGTCGCTGGGACGCCCGTGACCACCCTCGCGAGCGTGCCCGTGGCGCGCTGGGTTGCCAGGACAGAGTGGTCCGTCTGCAGCACGACGTGCGGCGAGGGTGAAGTCACCCGCGATGTCGACTGCCTGACCGGCAACACCAACTTGTGCAACGCAAACGCGCCCCCAGATTTCACGCAGGACTCGTTCGAGCCAAGCTCGCTCCCCTGCAAGTCGTACATCGCGTGCCCGTACGACTGGTCGTGCCCCAGCGGCCCGGACGAGGAGACGGGCGAAGGCTGCGAGGCACAGGCGGGGTTCGTGGCCGCGGCCATCGCCTTCTCCTTCGCCATCTGCTGCTTCCTATCCACCTGGTACGTCAGGATCATGTGCAAGCAGCCCGTCGGCGGCAGGTTCCGCATAAAGGTGAAGGGCGGCGAGAGCCGGGGCACCACCATCAACTGGACCCGGGACGACCACTTCTCCACCGAGGACGGCGTCTCCAAGACGAGGCTCAAGTACTCGCTCGGCGATGGGCTCTTCGCCTTCTTCCAGCACGAGCGGGAGGCGGGCCGTGCCATCCTGACGCCGAGCGATGGGGAACCCATCGAGCACGTGGACCTTAATTTGGGCGGCGAGGTGGAGTTCGAGCTCGAGGTCCGAGTGAGGACCCTGGCCACGAACGCGCTGCTCGTCGCCAAAGTCTTCCCCGAGGTCGAGACAATGCGACATGTCGGGAAGGCGAAAGGCCTGCTGATCCGCGGGGGCGTCGCCGCCTGGCAGATCGGCGAGGAGTTCCTCCTGGGGAGCACGCGCGTGGCCGACGGCCTCCCGCACGACGTCTCGGTCCTCTACGACGCGGAGCAGGACGAGTACGTCCTGAAGGTCGACGGCGAAGAGGACGCCCGGGGATTCCGGGGGGCCCCGGACGCCCCGGAGTGCAAGCTCATCCTGGGCACCCCGAGCGCCCCCAGGGACGAGGGCTTCAACGAGCTCCTGCCGCTCCTCGACCAGCTGCGCGACTGCGGCATGGAGGTGCTGCCGCTGGAGGAGCAGCCGGACGAGGTCCTCTTCGACGGCGACTTCGACCGGATCATCTGGAAGAAACGCCAGTGGATCAAGCATCTGGACAAAATGGAGTGGGTCTCCTACCAGTTGCACGTGGATACCGAGGATGCCATGGTGAAGAGAGTGACATCGAAGGCGCCCAGGGCGGATGAGACCGTGATCATGACGGAGCCGGAGGCAGCGCCCGAACCGAACGGCACAGCGACTGCATACGCCATCGGCGACACTGTGGAGTATTGGTCTAAGACCACGAACTCGTGGTTAGGTGCGAGGGTCATGGACATCAGAGGCCAGCCTTTCCACAGCGAGGAGCATGGCATGAACGTCTTCACGTACGACCTTTTTGTCAAATCCGCCGGACAGCGCGTACCCAACGCGGACATGAAGGACTTGCGCTTGCCGTTCAGTGTGAGTGAGAAGGTGAGCGTGTTCTCCAAGAAGCACGGGGACTGGTACCCGGCCACCGTACATGCGGCGCCGAGGGAGGCGCAGGACCCGAGGCTCGGGTACGACATCGTGCTGGAGCCCAGCGAGCTCAAGACGGACATGCTGGAGCACGCCAGGCAGCTCAAGGCCCAGAAGGAGCTCCAGGGGAACCAGTACGAGGGGAGGCCAGGCCGCGGAAGCCGCAGGCGGCCGAGGAACAGCGGCGATCAGGACGTCGGTGGCAGCGCGGAGCTCGACTCGGTGCCGCCGGTGCCCCCGCTCGGCGGCAACGCGCTTGCGAGCAGCAGGCCGCGCATGTCCCGCCGCTGCCCCTCGGACAGGAGGACGGCAACGGCAGCCTCGGCAACGGACGGCCCGATGCAGGAGGAGGACCTGCCCGTGCTCAAGAACATGCCCGGCAAGCGCTTGCGGAGGCGCTTCGACGGCGGCATGCCCGTGCAGGTGTACCTGGGAGCGGAGCAGGGCTTCCTCACGGGCACGGTCGTGGAGTCCGCGGGCGGGCCAGAGCCCAGGCGCGGCCCCCCGGCGGCCACGGCGCCACGGCCGCAGGGGTGGCTGCCGCGGCCGCGCTCCAGGGGCATCATCCCGTCGCCGAGCCCGAGCCCGAGCCCGCCCCCGCGGTCTCCGACGACCCGCGCGTGGATCAGGGCCAGCCCAGCGTCGAGCCGGGGTTCTTCTGCGAGGCGGAGGTCCCCAGAGGACGCCCCCTCGATGTCACCCTTGCGTTCCAGCGACGACGACGACGACCCGCACGGAGTCGACGTCCGCACCGCCGAGGTCGACGCTGCCGTCGCCCCACAGCGCCACGCGACGGCCACCGTTTCGATCCACGGCCTGAGCGGACCCGACCGCACCTACCCCGAGTACATGCTGAGGCCGCTGACCGAGCGGCACAGGGCGCCGTCCTCGATTCGAGGGAGGATCTGGACGCTTTTTGGCAGGGACGAGGGCCACGTCCTCGAGGACCTCGACGGGCCGCGCGGCAGCCAGGGCGAAGGAGAATACCCACCCCTCAAGCGGACTGTGTTTTCGTGGTTCGGTGGCATATCTCCGACAGAGACGTCTGTCTGACAACCGCCTCTCGGGCTTCCTGCTGAGCACAGATGCCCCCTTGGATCGCCATGAAGGAGGAGAGTCTTCGGGGAAATGTGTCCTGGACCTCCTCCCGCTGCCTTGGGGTCGGAAGTGCGTCAGACACTCTCCTGGTCTTGGGCAAGAGCAGCATCAGTTTCCACATGCACCCCAACAGCTTTGTGGACTGACGCGTGCCGCCGCGAAGCAAGCACGACATTGTCACGAAATAGTTCTCTTGCCACCAACAAAAACAAACAAACAAAAAAAAAAGGATCGGGCCCCACTCCCGGCGGGGCTGCTGCCATCGGTGATCCCCACCTTCAAAACATTCATGGTGACCGGTTCGACCTGATGAAAGAGGGCAGCCACGTTTTGATCAACATTTTTCGTGTAATGAGCGCTGAAAACGCATTGCTTCGAGTCCAGGCCGATGCGCGCCGGCTGGGAGGACATTGCTCGGATATGTACTTCCAGGAGTTGAACATTACGGGGTCCTGGGCAGATGCGAAACAAGCTGGTGGATATCACTCAGCGTGTCGCAGTATGAGGTCAAGACTCCCGAATGGGTTGCTCTGGGTAAAGTTGAGCTGAAAGTCGTGCATGGGCATGCGGATGGTGGCCTCCGCTACTTGAATGTGTACGTGAAGCATTTAGGGCGAGCAGGGTTTGCTGTCGGAGGTCTTCTGGGAGACGATGACCACGGGGACGTGATCGTTCCTCCAGAGGCGTGTGCCAAGCACCTGTCCCTGCCCGCGGAGAGGACGCACAAAACCAATGTGGTCTCAGTCGCGGAGGCAAGCCTAGCGTGATCGTGCGCTATGATGCGGCCGCTCATCAGGCGAGCGACGCAGGACAATGGGGGCCACCAGGCCTTCCCTTCGCCCCTCAACCGCGGTCTGGCCTTCCCGGTGCGCTCACTGGTGAGTTGCTAGCTTATGTATCTGCCAGTCCACAGGTGGTTGCGTAGGCCTTTCGACCTCTTTCTGCCATCTCGGCTTGATTCTCCCCGACTCGGCATGTGCTCCTCGCCGCTGACACTTCTGTGCCTGTCCGATGACAAGCAAATCAATTCAAAAAAAAGAGACGGCCCAGGAGGCCGCCAAGACGGCCTGAAAACGGCTTCGAGAGACCCCGAAGAGGGCCCACTCGGCACGCTGCATAGTGCGGCGACGGTCAGAAATTATAGATCTCTAAATATACAACTTACATCTATATATATATCTTAATCTATAACTTACATCTATACATACATATACATATAACGGCGCACCGGGTCCGGGGGCCCGGGGCCGGGACCTCGACCACAAATGTGGGCCCCGGGTGGCCCGGAGGCTCGTCGGACCGCCGGACGCCGTCCAAGATCGTTCGCAGGCGGCTTCGGAACGCGCTCCGATGGCTCCAGATGCCTTCCAAGACGCCTGTCATGACACCAAGAAGGTCCCAGAAGCCTCCAAGACGCTCCGAGAGGCAGCCCAAGAGAGGCCCAAGAAGCAAAAATCGTGCCATTCCTATGGGAAAGCGTATATGTTTCGCATGTTCGCCTCTTGGGCTTTCACCGCGTCCAAGACGGCCCAAAAGGCGCCCAAGACGGTCTACGAGGCCTCCGGGAGCGCTCCAAGGCTGCGCACGAGTGGCCCAGGACGGCCCCAAGACGGCCGAAGAGAGCCCCAAGACGAGTTCGAGAGGGGTCCCAGACGGAGAAAGCCAACCTCGAATTCCGAGCTTCCGGCCCAAGAGGCTCCAGGAGGCGCCAAAATGCCGCCAAGAGGCGCCAAAAGGCTCCCAAAAGCACCCCAAGACGTTCCGAGAGGCACCCCAAGAGAGGTCCAAGAAACAAAAATCGTGCCATTCCTATGGGAAAACGTATATTTTTCGCATGTTCGCATCTTGGGCTTTCACCGCGTCCAAGACGGCCCAAGAGGCCTCCAAGACGGCCTAGGAGGCCTCCGGGAGCGCTCCAAGGCTGCGCACGAGTGGCTCAGGACGGCCCCAAGACGGCCCAAGAGAACCCCAAGACGATTTCGAGAGGGGTCCCAGAAGGAGAAAGCCACTCTCGAATTCCGAGCTTCCGGCCCAACATATCCCAGGAGGCGCCAAAACGCCGCCCAGAGGCGCCAAAAGGCTTCCGAAATCAGCCCAAGACGTTCCGAGAGGCACCCCAAGAGAGGTCCAAGAAACAAAAATCGTGCCATTCCTATGGGATAACGTATATTTTTCGCATGTTCGCATCTTGGGCTTTCACCGCGTCCAAGACGGCCCAAGAGGCCTCCAAGACCGCCCCAAGACGGCCCAAGAAGCTTCCAAGAGGGCCCCAGGACAGCCCAAGAGGGCCCCAAGACGGCCCAAGAGGCGCCCAAGATGGCCCAAGAGGGCCCCAAGACGGGCCCAAGAGGGGGCCCAGAGGGGGACCACGAACCGCAAGCTCGAGCCTTCCGCCCCAAGAGGCCGCCAGGAGGCCCCAAGGAGGCCCCTCAAGAGGCCCCAGGAGACCCCCAAGAGGCCCAAAGGAGGCCCCGAGAAGCCCCAAATCGGCCCCAAACGGGAAACGAAACGCTGCTGCATCGACACTTCTGGGTATGTATCTTTTTGTGCTGCACTCTTGACCCTACGAGTTGCGGGACCATTCCAGCAGTAGCCTTCGTGCTTTGCAGTGCACGCCCGCGAGACAGCCATTCGCAGGCCCGATGCGGCAGGCATGGCGTCGGGCCGCGAGCGCTCCGAGTTTCACCTCATGCGAATGCGGCAGGGTGTACGTGGCCGCTGCACTGTCCAAGAGTCGACACAACAAAGCGTTGCTGTTGAGGCTGCGAGTTTCTCGCGCTGGTTTATGAGTGCCAGGGCGCACGAACAAAAAAAAAAAAAGAGAGGCCCAAGAAGCAAAAGTCGTGCCATTCCTATGGGACAACGTATATTTTTCGCATGTTCGCCTCTTGGGCTTTCACCGCGTCCAAGACGGCCCAAGAGGCGCCCAAGACCGCCCCAAGACGGCCCAAGAAGCTTCCAAGAGGGCCCCAGGACAGCCCAAGAGGGCCCCAAGACGGCCCAAGAGGCGCCCAAGATGGCCCAAGAGGGCCCCAAGACGGGCCCAAGAGGGGGCCCAGAGGGGGACCACGAACCGCAAGCTCGAGCCTTCCGCCCCAAGAGGCCGCCAGGAGGCCCCAAGGAGGCCCCTCAAGAGGCCCCAGGAGACCCCCAAGAGGCCCAAAGGAGGCCCCGAGAAGCCCCAAATCGGCCCCCAAAATGCTTCGAACCTGCTTCCAGGAGGCCCCCGACAGGTTCAGAGGCTCCCGAGAAGCTACGTCAAACTCCCAGCGAGCGGCCGGACGAGGCCCCCCACAAAATCACAAGAGGGTTCCAGTATTTGTATCCTTCAGCGCTCTCTGGCCTTCTTCCCCCTGCCCCCTTCCCTGCGATTTTCGTTGACTCAAGCTCGCCTCCTAGCTAGAACCTAAGCGCGCGCGAAGCGCGCGCGTGGTTCTAGTATTTATATATACACACACGTAGCACCCTGCAGTTGCGGATACGAGTGAGGGGGCGGCGGGGACGTCGGCAGTCTGCGAGGCTCAAAAGAAGCCGGTCGCAGACGCTTAGTTTTTACAAATCTATCAACTAGCTCGCCGCAGGCGACGGTTGTTTCGTTAAATCAATGTGAGTGGGTCGCGGGGTGGGTCGCGGGGTGGGTCGCGGGTGGGTCGCGGGTGGGTCGCGGGTGGGTCGCGGGCGGGTCGCGGGCGGTCGCGGGTGGGTCGCGGGTGGGTCGCGGCTGGTTCGCGGGTGGGTCGCGGGCGGGTCGCAGGCCGGATCGTGGGTGGGCCGGGGGTGGGTAGCGGGCGGGTCGTGGGCACGACACATATCAAGAAACAGCAAGCAATAACCAACGATAACAACAACAACAACAACAACAACAACAACAACAACAACAGTTCGTTCGTTCGTTCACAACAAGAACAACAATGACACCAAATATACAGCAACATCAATCAGTTTAATCTTGTTCGTTCGTATCTGCGTGCGTGCCATTCAACACGCATATGCCAAACCCTCGATGCCCGCCCTTGCCGTCTTCTCATGCAGTCCTTCTGGCAGGGGATGATAGGAGGACGGATGGAAGGAACGGGCAGGGGGAGGGAGGAGGATGGAGCAAGAGAGAGAGAGAGGGACAGAGTAACAGGAGAGGGGCTAGGAACAGAAAATACGTGGCAGAGCCAGACGGGCACATTGGGCAGGTAGACCCTAACAGGCGGGTCGGGCAGGCGGGCCCGGGCGGCCAGGTCGAGCAGGCGGGTTGTTGAAGCGTGCGTCCTGCATGAATCGCGAGTCTCGAGCGATAGCGCGATTCCCAAGTAAATCGTGAGATGGGCCAAAGCGAGACCGTGATTCCTGACTGATTGTCGAGGGCGAGGCGTCATAATACATTGCCAGGAAGTCCCACGCGAGAGCGTGATTCCTGCATAAAGAGAGCGCGATTTGGGAATACATTGTGAGGAAGTATCAGGCGGGAACCTTTTGTTGTTGTAACTCGGAGGCCAGGGAACCGATTCTGAGACCCAAGAATTTCCCTTTTAAGAAGCAGGGTGCGAGCCCCGAAACGGAGCATTTCTATAACAAATGTGGCCCGTATGGGGGGACCAACAATAGCTATTATCTAGTAGTGAGAGTCCAATAACACCAGCAACAACACCAGCACCAATCAGATTAAGACTGTTCGCTCTGATCTGCTCGCTCGCGGGCCATTCAACACGTATATCCCCAACCCTCGATACCCACCCGCTGAGTCTTCGATCGTATTCCTTTTGGGGCATATTTATGCGTTATATATATTTAACTATGTATGTAAATGTATATGCAACGCGTATTTCGTCCAGCCCCTAAGGCACGGGAGCAGGTTCGGATGGAATGAAGGGACAAGAGGGAGGGAGGAGGATAGGGCACGACAGAGAGTAGGTAGCAGGAGGGGGGGGCAAGAGCAGAAAACACGTGGCTGAACCAGACGGGCG